CTACTGCTACTGCTGCTACTGCTGGTACTGCTACTGCTGCTACTGCTACTGAAATGGCTGATCCTACCACGCCACTACCCCTAGCTTCCTATCCCGGTCGCATGAAACCGAGTCGCAATGGGAGCAGCCAACCGAGCTGGAAGCGCTGCCAGCGGTGCGAGCCTCCGAAACTCGGAGTCTTGTAGTCTAACCGTCGTAACCGTCCAACCTGTCAAGCTCTGGTGTCATGCCTTATCCCTTCTTCCCACGAACACAATGCCTGTCGCTCTTGCCCGTGATCATGAGCTTTTCAAATCAGTGATGACAGCTTGTCATCATCGTCAAAACTTGTGTCGTCATCCTGTCCGGCTTATCTTGACCCCACGATTATTTCTGTCAATTACGACGACCTCGTGTTCAATAGCCATCACTACCAACTACATCGTATTGCTCCAATGCTGCTAGCAGGAACAGTAGCTCGCAACACATTCGATTTCCACCGCTGCAAACCCTTCAAACCGACCAGGCAAGTTTTTTTGGCCACAATCACAGCTTTAGAATCTGAAGGCCCTACAGCTTTAGAATCTGAAAGTACTGCTTTGGGCTGACTTGCTTTCAACTTTCACCGTAAAGCTCAGATTCATCCGCTGCGGCTGGAAATTATCAACAACAGAAGAATCCCATCCCAAAAAGCCACCCTTGCCAGTCGGTCCGAACCGGTGTTGCCTTCAGCGACTTTCGTTGCCTCGGAGGCGCCCTGCAGGCAATAGCACTTTGGGGGATTTTGCCCGCGGCTGTCCCGAAGCTTTGCGTGGGCAATCGACATGCACAAGTCGTCCAAGCCCGAGCCCTGAACACACAACTCCTACTGCATCGGTACTCGAAGTGACGTGCCTCGTTTGGAGCACTCGCAGGAAGGCTTTTGATCTTCAATCCCAAGCTCACCTGATTCTTGAACCGTCTGACATGTAGACGCACAGGCCCTGCACAATCCAGACTATGACTAGCTCCAAAGCCTGCTGATGCTACTGGTTAACAGTTAACATCACCATGGGCTAAGTCATGACAAACCGGTTTCACCATCATGCCACAAGCTCCTCAGAGACACACGGACATCTCTGCATCGAAAGCCATCGTCAACCAGAGTGAGATGGACAGGTTTGGCCTTGAACTGTCTTCCCACTGAACCCTGAGACTTCCCGGAAAGATGCGACTGAAGAGCTCCCCACATCTTCACAGAAATCATCAACGAGAACAGAAATCGCAAAGGAGTGGATTGCTGCCAAGCGTAAAGCTAAAGTTTAAAGGATGCTAAAGGCTTTCGGCACCACTACAGTAACACTTTCGGGACAACATCAGGACCCCACCAACACCAGCAGCGATGCCAGGCCCACCAGGGCTCCTGCAGTGGATGCAACTGTGGATGCACCCGCATGCTTAGAGGCGAGGTTCATGCTCTCACTCTAGGAACTAAACAAATGACCAGGGATCCACGGTGATTCGTCCCAAGATCAGAGCAGGTAGCCTGGACGTGCCAGTAAACTGAAAGCACGCTAAACACTTCGCAAATAACACTGCATAACAATGCCAACAGCACAGGCAGCGCAGTTTTTGGGACTCGGCCAGACGGTCTTGCAGATACTGCGGGTTCGCTGTTGCACCCTGGCAGGCAGAAGGTCGTCTCATCTGAACGTGTGTGAATTAAGTCCTTCCCATTCCTACTTGTATGAGCATTGGCAGAGACACGCGAATCGCAAGGCAGCACTTGATATATTTCGACATGAGATGTCCGTTTCGGGGCTGGCAATGCCAAGGCACCAAAGAGTTCCCATTTGGCCGCAGTCTACTTGCGACAGTGCATGCGCACAAATGCTGGGATCATCAGGCATTACAACACCCTGCGTTCCCCATAGCTCCTTGCATCAGTGTCGACAGCTCCAGAAGCAAGACGCTCCTTGCCAGCGCATGGAAGCAGAAGCCGTACGACCAATTTGTGAAAAGTAGTTGATGCGGCAAATTGGCAAGTTCCTTGATGCATGCACAGTTTCGTGGAGGATCCGACACTGAACCACAAGTTACCCCAACCCCCGCCGAAACAGTGATTTAACTACAGCACCGGTCCGAAACCTGGAGGAGACCCGACTGGCATCGACGCACTTTCAGAGAACTTCGAGCACGCGTCGCCAATGCCGCTTCGGCCGTTTGGCACAAAACCCAGGAGCCAATGCCGGGACCGAGGCTCTGAAGAGCATCAAGTGCTTGCGGAGGGGCCCCAAAAGCGATCACCACCTGGAGGGGTACTGTAAGCCATTCTCTAGCGTCAGAAATCAAAGGTGATCCTCTCATGCTTGGCGTCACATGCCCTAACATCTCCTCGCTAGATGTTCGGCTGTTTTTGTTTGGTAGACAGCTGAATACAAAACTCGACATAGCAACAGCAATGTCGGACAAAGAGAATGCCGAATTACCACTTCGACGCAAACCAATCGCGGTCTTAACCTAACTAGATGCACCCGAGTTGCGAAGAGCAAGTAGCCGCGCTCCGCAGAGGATAGGGAGCCGAAACGTCGTACTGCCGGGGAGCTGGCAGCCTCTACTCTGGAACTACGGGATATTTCAGGGTTCAGCCTTATAGTTGTTCTTAAGGGGGCCAAGCGTAGTTTGGCATTCTCGTTTGAGTATGCCGTTGGGGGCCAGGTATAAGTGGAAGACAAAATACCAAATGCTGCCGGTCTACAGGCTGACCCACCATATCGGGATTCGCAAGGATGTGAACTTGCTGCAAGCTTCTGGCCTGCTTTGCTTTAGATCCTAGCAACGAGGCGGCGAGGGAACTGGTTCTGGATGTTGGAAAACACGGAAAACCCCATGGAAAACCCCTAAAAGTCTCTGAAGCCCTGGCCTCTGCCAACCCTTGGCTCTCCCCGCCGATGTCAACTTCAGCAGCGTCCACGATCCCACGCGAGAGTGCCTGTGGCGGTGGAGGGCCTCGACCTTTCAGCCATTGCACCATCAGCCATATCATGCTATTGCTGCTGCAGTAGTTGAAATAGTAGTCGCAGCAGCGGTAGCAGTAGCAGCTGCCGTTGTCGTAGCAGTAGAAGCGTAGAAGTGGCAGTGACAGCAGCCGCAGCAGAAGCACTGGTGCTAGACATGCAGTAGCAGTAGCAGTAGTAGTGTCGTCGCTGTCATCGGACAATGGTGAGGATGAAGTTTAAACAACTAAGGTGGAAAAGATTGCAGGGATAGCTGGAACTGGTGGTACATAAAGGACTCCCAAAGGACCATTCTCTTCGGAATGTTCTCGTCTCTTCTTCTACTGTGGCGCTGTTGCCCAGCAACAGCGCAACATACATTGCATTGGAGGACATCTGGGGCCTGGACAATGAATGTGCTTGGTCTGGGCCTGTGGGGGCAAACCTGCTAGTTCTGTTAGTTTGCGAAAGACTGACCGCGTGTTGAGTATTAGACGATGGTGCAGAAAGTTGAAGGAATTGCACTCCGCAGACATACCTAGGTTTACTCTATTTTACTCTACAAAGGCTACAACGATTCAGTAATTTGCGGCCCGGGGCGCAGGTAGCTGGCGAAGGAGAATCAGGGAGGTCGCAGCATTGACAATGAGGCACAGTGCAGCCAACGACCATCCTAGGCGCAGGAAAGGCTGTGGCTTACGGGACATCTCTGAAATCCATAAACCCAAAGAGCCAGGGCCAGACGGACAGTGCAGGAGATAGAAGCAGACTTGTGGAACGTTAAGAAATCCTTCGGAAGTCGATGTCCAGTGAGTTCCGCGAGGGCACGACACCTCTTGCTCTCGTCCCATACCAGTAACGCGTAGCCCAGCAGCGGAGCATGTCGTTCTTGTGCACCACCACATATGCTGAGCCTGATCAAGGCTTCGGGCTACCATTTATCGTCGGCCTTCTTCTTCGGATTCTGAGATTTGGACAAGAGTTTGGCAGATGAGTCTCAAAGATAACCGAAGCTTTAAGCATCGTGTGCTTCGGCCATTTTGCTGCGACATGCCTGGGACAGAACACACGGTTCAGCCGCTGTTGATGCGCAAACAAATTTCTTTCAGGTCACATGCATGGGGGCATCCTGTGCGCCTGGATACCTACACCTTGTGAACCAACTGCCGGCGATGACGTAAGTCTTCGAACAAGAAGTAAGGGCAAATATTTGCTTGAAAACTTATGGAGAAGGGTCCCTTAACCTCGCCCAAAACCGGAACTCGTACTGAGGCCATGATTGGAGGAGAACCTCGAGCCTCAACTTTGCGCAATCGTCATGAACAAAGGCCCGAAGTCTGAACCCTTTTACCTCAACCCCCCAACCAAGAGCCCTAAACCCTAAACTCTAAACCCCCAACCAAGAGCCCTAAACTAAACCTTAAACCCCCAACCAAAATGAAGCGAGCCGGGCCTAGGGCAAACATGATCGCAAAGCGGAGGAGGGTCACATAGTAGGACACCGACTCGGGCGAAGCTTCTCGACGTAGCCCGAGAAGCCCTGATCAGTTGTGCTCAAGTGCAGTGTTTCGGTGTGTAAAACGTTCACGTCGTAGGGAGTTCTGGCATGTTTCGCGAGAGAATGCCATGATTGGATAAGGCGTCCTCAATGGATGGATACTCTGCTGTGAGATTGTGTTTGCTCATGCGTTGAGAGTAGAAGGACTGGCAAGCTAAGTGCCGCTGACCGCCGCTGTGGTGCCCTGCAAATTGCAAACCAAGATCGCTGTTTTTGGAGACCCCTTCAGTCAGGTGAAGCTACTACACGGATCACGACGAGAAACGTCCGCAAGCCACCAGAAGCCGTTTACATGTTGAGACTCCGTCGCCGAATCAACACCTGGAGTCACAGGGATGCCTGGGCAGCGACCAAGGAGGCAAAGCCACGTTCCGCGGAAGCTGCGCAGCCAGTAGGGCCGACTCCTCTGCAGGCTTTGGTTGTGACCTTCACTGGGTGTACCAAAAGTTCTATGTCGTAACCAGTGATGCAACCTTCGGCTTCTCATGTTCAACAGCGCAGCCCATGGCAACAACTGCCTGGCCAGGATCCAAAATGTGTTGATCCTTGCTTGCTCTCCTGTTACGGTGTGACACTTCACACATCGTTCGATGAAGCACGTAGTAGTAGCATCTATCTATCTGCCGTCTATATACATATATGGATCCAATCATCCAATCACACATGTATCGACTCTCCACGGTCGCTTACGGCACACACGACTACACATGTGTTGCATGTACTGTGGATACTCATCCTCCGCCTGCCTTCCGCAAGTGCATTCGGTCTCCGCCCGCTCATGCTCTGCTCTAAGCTTGCTTATTTCGTGTGTGTGCGTGCGTGCCCCTGCATGCGTGCAGAAAGCGTATGGGCGAGAGCCACGTCGGAAAGACTGCTCTACATTGGGATCCTGGTCCGTTTGTAGTCGAGTAGCCAGTTAGCAGGCGAACCTCAAAGGGAACTGCGACTAATAGAAGTCTCGACTTGACAACTCCCGTTGCAGCCGAGATGCATCTCCAGTGCTTGGTCTCCCACCTGGTTGCCTCGAAGTTTCGAGTTTAGGGTTTCGACACTTGCCCTTGGACAAGTCAGGTGAGCTTCAAGAGCGTCGGATTAGAGGTCCGGTTCTTTCGTGACGAGTGGGGCCAAGGCCAAGGGTTTTAAAGTTCGGGGAAGTCAGGGTCGGACTCCATGCTGCAGGGTGGGGTCAATGTGTGTCCTGTTCACTGACAGAAGGAAGTCAAACTCAAGGCCTCGACACAGAAGCCTCCCGAACACCAATGCGCAAGGAAGGTGAACAGCGGATGCCCTCAACAATGAAACAGGCGCAACGCCCAGCCAAGTCGCAGAAGCTGTATTGCAAGGTCCGCACAACCACCAGTATGCAAACCATCACCTGGGATCGATAACGAAGAGTAGCCGTTACTCCTCTTCTGCCAAACAGCATGTTTCACGATGTTACCTCTGGCCAGGACGGAACAGTTTATCAGTCCAGACAGACCGGCAGACCTCGCGAATAGCACCTAGGCTTCCGTGTGCCGTGGGACGGATCGGACGTCTAGGACTAGGACTCACGTAGCGGGCGAACCCGTTAGGCATTCATCGTCGTTGGTGCTTCAGGTACGGCGGGTCGTTTTGAGTGGCTGGAGCAGTGTGGAGACACGCCCAAAGCGCCAGCCCCGAGCATCCTACCTGATGAACAAGCTTGAACTTGAACCCTACCACGAGGCCACAAGTGCAAAGTTCCTGCATCCTGCCCGGATGCTGTGTCTTTCATGCCGGCTAAGTGGATCATTGCCCCAAGGGCCGGGTACACCACCAGCGCGATTAAGTTGCCTCGGAGCTCTGGATTCTGAAAATGTTTCTTCCACAGCGTTCCGTTTGGCACTTGTCTGCGGAACGATGATCGGGCACACAGAGCGCTGGAGCTCCTGCTTCCTGACCGGCCCTGAGAATCACTCTAACCATGGAGCACCCCTCTGGAGGACTTTGACGATCACTTTTCACCTTGTCCTCGTTTTGGCACTAGCCAACATCCTCGCCAGATGCTAAAGTAAGTAAGGGCCTGGTGGGGAACCTTTCAGAATTTGTGCTGGCAAGCTGCTGCCAGCGTATGCCTTCGTTGCCAAACACGCAAGGCTGCGGCTGCTTCGCCGCCCCTCCACACGAGCGTGTATGAGAGGTGTGAGCGCCGAGGCGATGAATTCCACCTCAGCTTCTGCGCCCGTAGGCACCGGATATTCGACCCATACTTCAGCTTCATGTCTATCCACGACTTGCTCGGTCTGATATAGCCACGCGCACCTAATCACTTGTCGCACCCTACCGAACCCCCCCCCCCACATGCACCAAGGTGCCACGATCTCTGCAGTTGTGGTGACGAAGGAGATCAGAAGGTAGCACCATCCAAGCTCCTGCCAAGTCTTCACTTCACTTTGCGAAGGCTTTTGCCATATCGAGCACACATGGAGTGTTCTGTGGTCCATTCTGACCAGTCTTGTCGCGACGGTTGCACACCACAGAGCCGGAAATCGCAGGTCCTCTGCCATGAGCAAGGCCTCGTACCTGTGCAGAAGTTGGCGGAGAAGTCACAAGGGCCAAGGCCGCTTTCGATCGCTCAGGCGCCGGCTGTACAAAGTGAGGGCTTAGGGTTTAGAGTTTAGGGTTTTAGGGTTTAGGGGAGGCTATGGGCATCGGCCCGAGCGGCTGGAAGATCTTGCCAGTGGCCCAGGAGAGGCTGTCCAGCGCAAACATGCCTTAGACACAGGCCGGAGGACTGCATGTTTTTTGGTGTGACTCCTGACCCCACGCCTCGTGCCTCGAGGTTGAAAGGGCACAAGCTGTGGCAGGATATTCTGTCCACTCAATGCTGCTTGTTCTTACACTAGCTGTCTTTTCACTCACCAGGGTTGTCGACAAGGCTCTTTGCGGTTTCAATCAAAGCATTCACGGGAGCAGAGATCAGGAAGTGACTTCCTGCCACTGGCACGGAGACACGGAAGTTTTTGGTGTGTCATGTGACAACCTGGACTCTGCACACTGGCCTATGAGCCTATGGAATCCATTTGCAAAGAGCCACGGTGTGATCCTGCAACAAGTCGTAGCTTCCGTGCAGGCATCGGAGGTGGTGTCATTCAGTACTACAGTACTTGTCATAGCCACTCTTGCTATAGTGCAGGCCTTTGCTGATGTAGTCTACTTCGCACATTGGTGAGTGTATTACCACTACGAAGCTCGCTCCGTGGGAGAAAAGCGCTTCGGAGAAAAAGTGCAACCCAACCTCGCTTAGTTCAAGCCTGATGACTCAAAAGGAAGCGGCAGGAGATGATGCGGTCATGGTGGAGTTCCTCTCCGCGGGCTTCTCGACTTCAATGCGGCTCAGGGTTTGAAGAGATGCTGCCCATATTCACAAAACAACTGAAGACTTGGGAACACTGGGGTCTGCAGTCTCTTTCAAGCTATGCACTGGCAAGGAGCTTACTTGAACGCATGGCCTTGCTGTTCCTCTTGCCTTGCAAAGCGCATGTGCAGCCCAGGCACAAGATCAGAATCGCTACCCTAAGCCCAAGGCATCAAAATGTCCCCGCCCTCTTTTTCGACTCTGAGAGCCTCCTCGCCGGCTCTCGGCTCAGCGGTCACAAGGGCGGTGAGTGCCTCAGGGAAGGCTCGTCGAATCTCCGAGAGTTCTCTCTACTTCGTAAGACGGAACTACAATAATTAGGGAACGTAGCTGACATCACCCTCGAGAAAAAACTCGCATGCCGCAGGTCCGCATATGCCCATTTGCTTACAAGTTAGTTATTTCGACATTTAAGTTAACTTGGCTTGGACATTCGATACATGGTTTGTACCTGGGTTGGGTAGAGCTTAGAGACTTTCAACTTGTTCACGGGTGTTCTTGGTGTGGCTTTTTCGACTCCCCACCGAGCAAGGACTGTTTGCGTATGCGCATGTATGTATGTATGTAT